ATATATATATATATATATATATATATATATATATATATATACTCTGCTGGGCTACTCAATTAACCTAATTAATTCTGAGTTTCATCATATAAAAAAACAACACTTTTTCTGATTTGTTTTTCCAACTGGTCCAGCTTGCTGGCAACGTTACAAAAAGCATTTAGTAAAAATAAATATGTAAACATTTGGTTAGTTTAAAAATAGTTTTAAATTAAAGGTTTTACACAGTGTCATAACTTTTTGAATGCTGGAATAGATTTAAGGAAATAAATCTTTACAAGAATATCCAAAAACTGCATCTGATGTTGGAATAGTGCAAAATCGACATGTTACACTCTTAATTCAGGGATAATAAATTCAAATCTAAAAAAAAAATAAAGAAATTTAGCAATTTATAAATGTGTTTCCATCAAACTGAGCCCTTCAGCTTGCATGACTTAACATGTCTTTATGTATCGCAGGAACCCGGCTCGTTCTCTAGCAGTGACTTCCTGAACCGGTGAGTTTCTCTGCTTCGGCCCCACAGATTAAAGAGTTTTGGTCACGTGAGACACACAGGAGCGGGGTGGTTGGGAGTGACAGTCCGCACGCTGTGGAACCTTTTTAAAACGAGTCAAAAGGTGAAGGGTGGAGTGCTTTTGGAAAATACACTAAACATATGTGACGAGATGAACCCAAACAGAATATTTGTGTTTTTTCAGGGATAAGGAAAAAAAAAGTCACTCATTTGAAAGCTGATCCAGTTCAAGACTTCCAGTTTCCAGCATGTCCCACACACCAATGTGTAAATGATTCACCCCTGGGACTCCTTCACTTGCCAGAGAATCTTTATAAATACCAATCTCATGACAAAACTTGATTTTTCCGACATAAATAACCTCCATAATTATGGCAGTGGGTAAAGATTGCAGTTTCTATCTCAGCCTTGGCCCCGGGGTCTCTGCCTGAATAAATGTCTTGCCCAAACCTCTCCTCCACTGTTGTCGTCCAAGTGCTGCACACGAGCACCTCACATCCGGCTTGTTCCACGCTCAATCAAAACAGATTACTCACATTTGGAATATGCCATGGGAAATCTCATGAGAAAGCATGACTCATGGCTGGTGGCTGTTACAAATAAAATGAAATGAAATGGGGTTTGAGTGACAGCGAGTTCAATTAGTTGTCACATGGAATTTAGCAGGATGAAAGAAACTAAAGATTTGTAAAAAAAAAAAAAAAAAGCTTCTGCAGTTAATAAAACTTAAAAGTTAAAATAAATAGGAATATTCTTTTAATAGAAGAATTTAAACGTGAGGAGCAATAAAACTATCAAACTATTACATTTACTTAAAAATAAGCTGGAACTTAGGCACTTAATAAAGTTTCCTGGAAAGTCCACATTGATGTCATTTGCTGTGTTTCAATTCATAAATGAGCCGTCTGTATCTCTTCTTCCTACAGATACAACCAACCACATTTCCGATCCTGGTCCTTCTCTCAAGCAGTAAGTAGCCGATCATCCACCCATCTGTGTCATTATCTGCGTAAATTAGCGTAAATTCACCAAATACCAGTCTGAGGGATGTCTCTGGCCTCATGTCTTTTACAAGAAGCAGTGAAATTGAGAGCCTCAATTACAAGATGAAACAAAAACACAAACCAGTCCAGACCAAAGAAACTGAACTTATCACACGGGGGGGTTTCATTCTCAACACACTCCTGCTAGACTAAACTTACTTCTCTGTTGGAAAACTGATTCCATAAGTGCAAAACGGTTGCAGTAGAACAGAAGTTTTACAGAAGTCATGCCAATCAAACATTCAAAGCGAAAAAGAATTAAAGCTCTACCGAAACAAAAAGTTGTTTTGTAAGAAACATGCTCTCGAATTGTTGAGTTTGAGTGACAGAACAGCGCGAACAAAAAGACTAGAAATGTGTTTATTTACGCTGAATGCTTTCTATTTGTGACTATTCGCCCTTTCTGTAGCATCATGGGCTCTAAATTTGTTTTATTCTGACCTCGTCAGCCTCACGCTGATAAAATGAGGATTTGTTGGTAAACCCTTGGCTAAATTTGACATTGCACCCTATTTCTGGTTGGGAAATTATTTTCTTCTTTTCTTTGTGTTTAAACACTAACAAGCAAACGCCAGTGTGATTACACGGAAGTAAAGTACAGCAGATTGTGCGTGACGTGGTCGCGCTGAATGTACCTCAGGTGGAAAATTGATCATGCACCCTTTAGGTTTGGTTAGACGTGGAAATGAAATGACCAGGAGAGCTCACAGGAAACTACACCGCAGCGCCATGAGCGGCACCCATACACCCCCACCATAGTCAGACGGATTAGACATGTGGTCAGAACTTGACTTTGTTTCAGGAGAATGTGTCTGGGTTCTATTTAAATAACTTAGGTGTGTGTGGTTCTGTCAGTGGGGTCGGTGCCACGTCAAACTGACAGGTGACGGGCTCGCAGCCTCAAAGCTACAACTGGATCTCAGTCCTGCTCCCTCCCCCTTCTGCATCATGTGAGTTTCGCCTGCTGAATAAAAGCCCTGTTTGTCCCCTCACACACGTGCATCCAGTTTCTGGGTGGAGGGGTGGGGGTGTTAGCTAACATGACAGTTCTCTGTTTGAATCATGGGAGGAGACGGATGGTGTGACCAATCTGCAGTCCTGTGAATCCTGGAGGCCTTTGACACGGTTCGTAGACAAGATGACCTCATCTCAAAACACTGCTCTTCAAAACCAGTCTGAAAAGCATGCCGCTTATTGTCCTCAACACCAAAACAAGAAACTAACTTGAATGACTATTTTAATAAAAAAAATATGTGAAAGGTGTTATTTTTTTGTTGGTGTGACAGAGAAGTTATAGATATGGATGAGAAAAACAGGGTGACAAATAATCCTGGATTCAGGAATAAGCCTGCTGAGCTAGATGTGGCTGCAAACCTGCTCCCAAAGGAGGCACGTTTCCTCAACACTGAGCAAACACTGTAACGCGAAACACTTATTTTTCTTTTTCTTCTTGGAGGTGGTTGCTATATTTTGTCGTTGTAATTGCAAGGACCTAAAAAGCACCCATCTACTGGAGCTCAGTTGTGCTCCTAATTACATATAAAGATAAAATAAAGGCCTCTGATGTGAGTTTCAGTAAGTGGTGCTTGTAGATGTGTGTTAATTAAGTGAGACTGGGTTTATAGGATTCTAAACACTTTTATTTAAAAAGTGACCAGTTGGACCAATATACTGTATAAATATATATATATATATAATTTTAGAAAATACAGTACATTATAAACAACCTGTTGAAGAAAGATTATTCTATGCAGTCCTTGTGGATAGGTTGTTAGCTTATCATTGTAATAATTTGATTTGACTCCTACATTTGACTAAATGCAAGTTTTATGTCCAAAACTAATGTATCTGTTTATTTTTAATTATGTTTTTATTGTAGTTGTTTTAACTTGTATTTACATCAGAAACTGAACTAGAAGATTTTGAAACGGTACTCATTTTGCCCTAAAAATAACACATTCAGTGCACTATTAAACATATTGTGTGTTAAAACTGTAGTTTTGTTCATTTAAATTGTTAAACAAATACATTATTTATTGCTTTATATTTGCTTACAATGAATATTTATGAATGTCATCATGTGCACGTCATATACATTTTTTGGGGGTGGGATGGGGGGTGTTGGTTGAAGCAATTTAAACCCTGTTAGGATTTTTTTGTCCTTTACTATCAAAAGAGCCATTTTTTCACTGTCGTTCACTACATTAAACATGTCCGGAGCTGCAACAACCTGCTACAACTGTGGTTATCAACTGGTGGCCCATGGGCCACGTTTAGGTTTGCTGGAGGGGGCTTTTGTGGACAGTAAGGGTGAAATTAAAGCAAAAAATATCTAATGATCTTTAACATTTATTAAAGAAATGGGGAATTTTTTTTCAGTTTTTACCATCTTTTTTTAAAATTAATAAATCTATAAACTATGCAAACAGTTCTTCATATAAATAAATAAAGCATCAAGTATGTTTTGCTTCTTGTACTCGCTCCAGTGTTCACATATTTGCAAAATAAATGACGGCAAAACTGTTTGAACTCATCCTTTTTTGTTGTTTGTATAACCAACAAAATTCAGTTTTGTGCCAGTTTTGGTCAAAGCTTGAAAGAGCTGCTACAGAGCGACCAAAGAGTCACATGTGGCTCCAGAGCCACAGGTTGCAATGCAGACCCCTGCAAGAACTATTTTACCAAAATGTTTCATCCTGTTTTATGCACTAATGCTGATTTCCAACCATCAATAAACTCTACTGAAGTTGCATAAGACATTTTTAATCCAGTAACTGACCCTATGTTAATGTGCATTTGACCAAATCAAGTTTATACTCTTAACAGCATTGCTCAAAATATGAAAACTGAGCTTGAATCAGTGTTTATGTTGCTCATGTTTATGTTGTAATTTGGCGACACCTTGTGGTCACAAACGGCAACTGCGAGTCCTATCTGGAGGGAAAACATCAATTTAATCTGAATAAGAAAACGATAAATACAAATTAAATGCGTCTTCTGTTTTAACTGTTTAGGATTAAAAAGAAGACAGTGGAAAGTGGTGGTACCCTCTTTGAATTTTAAAAGGGATCACCCCAAAAGTCACCTTAACATAACCTGCCGAGTCTTCTTCGTTTGCTCATGTGGGCGCAGACAATGTTCGCAGAGGTTTGGTCAAACTTTGAGCACAGAGTTCGGAGCAAACTACGATCACTGAGACGGTGGTGGCAGGTACAGTAGGTGTTTTCATTGGAAATGTGTTAAAACATTAAAATTATCCTCATTTGTTTACTTCTTAGTTTTGGTAGCCGACAGCAACATCAACAGCTAGCTCAATACAAATTTGTTTTTTGTTTTGTTTTGGGGATTAATTTTCTGGACACGAACGTGTGTTTTTCTCTGAAAATTTTTAATACGAGATGAATTTTTAAGTGTTATTGATGAGAATCAATTATTACACGTATTTATTTATTTTAATCAATTACGTTTATTTTGATTGAAGTATTAAGCCCCGCCCCTTAGCTCAATACAAATTTGTTCTGTTTTTTTCATTCAACATGTTTTGGTTTAAGTTTAATTTTCTGGTCACGAAAGTGTGTATTTCTCTGAAATATTTTGATACAAAATGCATTGTTAGCCAATTACGTTTATTTATTTGTTTTTAATCAATTACGTTTATTTTGATTGACGTATTAAGCCCCGCCCCCAGAAAAGCTGCATTCACTAAAAGTAAACAAAATAACTAAATCCAATGAAATATTGTTATTTTTAAGTCATATATTTCTGGGTACTGTTTAAATCATCTGATGAGTTTGTTAGGAGGCTGGTGTTGAATTATATTTATATTTGGCTTTTATTAACTAGAATAAAAAAGTCAGGAAGTGAAGTTACTTAGTGTCTATGAACATATAAGCTATATGAAGAAACAGGCAGTCAGGCTTGAGCTGTGGTTAATGTGGTTATCATCATCGAGTTCTCAAACCCGGAGAACAAATGATGCATTTTTGTTGTAAAACAGAAGTTGTCGGTTAATATAAAGTTGAACTAAAAACAATCAGAGAGGAGTCGTCCTTTCCTTTGGGACATTTGTGCATTAACTGTGAAGACTTGCAGCACAACTCAAGACAAAACACTTGCTTGTTGTATTTAATGAAACTATTTTCCTGTGCAGTTTTACATTTAGTTATCTCATGGATTCAAAAATAGACTCAAGAAGTTATTTCAGATTTTGTGACTTGCATGTGGTTGAGATTTGTGATTTCTGTGAAATGACAACCTAAGCATTAACTTGATGCATGTGTGCGTATGTCTTCTTTTTCTCCATTGGCAGCTTTTTAAACTTTAAAAATAAGGAACGTCTCAGCAGAGGAAGGAAGTTGGTCAATAATGGCAGTGGATTTCACAATGTATCTGTGTGCTTTTAGGACGTTAGACAGCCACCGTTCTGTGCGTTTAAAAAAAAAAAACCTACACCGTTATGAGATACTGCAGAACAATTCTGTCCAGTTCATGAAGATGTCAAAGTGTCAGTGAAACTGCTGACAGTGGCGCCCATTCTGTGTCGATGCAGAACTCTAAAGTTTTTATCCTTTTTTTTTTTCTGACTCAACTTCCTCTTGCACAGATGGTGAAATTCAGTATATCTGTGTATGTTTCTTTCCTCCAGCACAAGCGAATAAAAAAAACAATCATTGCATGTGCTTCTGCCTATGACGCCACTTCCTCTTCCAGGCAAAAAAATTAAACCCATTTTCTGCCAAATGATCCGTCTGTAGAAATATTGTCAACCTACAGATGTAAGTTTATGTCTGGTGTCACTCTGCAGGCTGTCTTCCCCATATCTGTGACACCTTCGATGGCCGCCGATGACTACAACCCTGTAAGTCTTCACATTTTTTTAAATGTTGTTGACATTTACATTTAGAGGTGATACTTCTGCTTCTCCTATTTTATGCTGACCATGTTTGATATGTTCTATCAGAATTCATTACAGGGTGTCTGTTCTCTCTCTTTTTTTTTTAATCTTGCTTATTTAAAGTTCACCTGCAGGCAGAGAGAGGTCGAAGAATCGTAGTCTTAAACTAAAGGCTTTGTGTGAAACAGGATGTTCAAGGCGACTTTCAGCTGTAGAGTCTGACAGTTCTCTCTTCTTGTCCTCCTCTTCTCAAGGTCTCCCTGCGACACAAATCGAAGAGGAAGAGCCGAGGAGGTAATCCAGCACTTATCGCTTTTTTGTGTATGCGCACTCGCAGTCGCACTTTGGACCACCAGTGGGTGTGCGTGAAGTGGCAGGGCAATTAGTGCGTACAGAGGGTGTTTAGACAACCCACAGTTACTTTCACTTGGCTTCTCCTCCGTTCTGCCTCTCTGCTGCATCTCTCTGCTCTTCTGAGAGGCCACCTTTAGTTTTCATGGCTCCTGGTTTGTAGCCACATCAGGTAGGTTAATGGAGCAGAGAACTTTAGAGCAGACAGTCTCTAAACTCTGCGCGGGTTGTTTTAATCAAGTTCTTTGACCTATATGACAAACAGAAGGTTTTTATGGAGGCGTTGCGATGTCAGCACTGACTCCAGCGTCCCTCCTCGCTGCATTTTCTTAGAACTGTGGACAAATTCTTTATGCGTTTATTTATTTCATCTGTGTTTTTGGTGCGCAGGCGATGGTACAATGAGCAGGAGACGTGTGTCGGTCAAAGACCTGGGTCACCCGGACCACCAGGGCTGGCTGTACAGAAAGAAGGAGAGCAAAGGCTTCTTGGGTATCAAATGGAGGAAGTACTGGTTTGTTCTGAAGAGAACGGCTCTGTACTGGTACACCAATCATTTGGTGAGTAAAAGTGCTGGCCTACTGGTCTCAGTTTTCCCATCATGCAGGCTGTTAATCTGCTTTATTACAAAACTACAAATAGTACTACAGTGAATTGGTCATTTTTGCTTCCGTTTCTGCGTTGATCTTTGAAGTAACACCAGTGATATCCTGATGCATGCTCAGTAACACCAGTGATAGTTGCCTAAATTTTATTTGGTAACAAAACTGACGGCATACGGAGGCTGAGGAGTTTATGCAAGTTGAACAGCTTGTAATTATGTTTAACGTCACCCACTGCTGAAGCTCAGCCGTGTGTCTCTGTGCCAGTATTGAGTGCCTGTTAGCAAAGTACACATGAACCACTCTGTCATTTTTTTAACATAAAATACGTTGGCTTGAAAGGTGGCGGGCGATATGCATTGCTTTCAAGGAATGCTAATCTCTTTTAGGATCTGCTTTCAGTTTTTAACCTGGTACTGAAGGTTATTTTTACAGATCACTAGAGTAGGTGTGATCTGTCTGACTGCCAGCCTTGCAGCTCACTCCCCTTCTTCTTTTTATTACCCTGAAATAATCTAAAAGTGCTTAAAATAATCCTCATATTTATAAAAAAAATGCAACCAAGGGAAGTGGGTTGCAGTGCGTTTGTATTTTATTTTATATGTTTTGTCATTTTTACACAACTGTTAAAATGAATTGACATTTTTGGACACAAGTCTTTGCATTCAAATTTAAATGTAGATGATTTGCTATATTTTCGGACTATAAGGCGCACTTAAAATTCTTTAATTGTCTCAAAAATCTACAGTGAGATTTATAATCCGGTGCGCCTTACTTATTAATTCTGGTTGTGCTTACTGACCCCGAACCGATTTCATGTGGTACAACTGAACAATGTGGAGAGTTATTGTAAATGAGTTGAGTAAAGTTTGACTTATCTGACTGTTTTGTTTCGCGTAATGCGTCTTATAATCCAAAAAATACGATAATCCAAGATTTCGTTATTGCTTTAGCTAATGCGTCACATTGTAGCTCACCAGTTGTTTCGGATCTGCTGAATTTTTGAGTTTATTGTTCAGGAAAGGAATGCAAGAAAATTGTGAAATGTGCTATCTTTGACAGTTTTTTTTTTTTTTTTTTTTTTTCAAAGCCCTGAACAAAAAGCAGTACATTTCAAAATGAAAACCAGCTCACACTTTTTTTTTTCTTCCCTCCCCTCTACTTTTTATTTACATATGTTTTTGTACATGTCGTGCAGGTTTCACTAGACTTTAACCGCAGCTCGCAAAATCTTTTGGCAGCTTTTAATTTCTTGAGCACGTTGCATGTTTTAACCTCCCACCACCTCCGAGCACACAACAAACTGAAGATGTCTTCTTCTGCCTCTGCAGGAACTGTTGTGCTGCGTTTCCTGTTGGTGTCTGTCACTAACAGGCTCATACAGACACAGTGACATGTTCGATTTACTGGCAACATGACTTCAGTCAGCTCTGCATGCTTCGACCCGGTGCCACAAGTCATCAGGAAGTGGTTTGAAGTCGGTGCTCACTTGTCTGATCTGTGTGTTGCAGGCTGAAAAGGCCGAGGGCTACATTGACCTCACCAACTTCGTGATAGACGTCGCCACTGAATGCAAAAAGAAACAGTAAGCTCAAAGTTTCTGTTTTTTTTTCCTCCCATTGCTACTGGTTTCAGTTAAATGGAATTCTATTTAAATCTGTAGTCTGGACTGTGAAAACAGAAGTGCACTAGACATGCAGAAAAACTAATTGCATTTGAAACTTTTTCACTTCCTTAGCAGCTTTTCCACTCTCTCTGTTCTATCTTAATAGGTTTCAGGTTTTTTATTTTTTTGCATAAATCCATTCTGAAATATCGGTCTCACTCTTAATGGTACAATTGTAAGAATTAATTAATAAATAAATAAAATCATGCTTATCTGTGAGAAGCGATCTAGAGAATGTTGTGCATCGGCGATTCCAAATAAATATTTCTAGGAACCGCAGCTCCGTTCTGCACATCAGTCCAAATAATTCTTCCATATTCTTCTATTCAGAACAACTTGTTTTAGGATTACTTCTTATTATTTGTTTTATTATGACCCTTTTAGGGAAGGTCCAAAAAAAAAAAAGTCTCAAATTTTGTTCATTTCTACAAATTCTCACTTTTTTTTTTCAAAACTAACAGTTTTTCACTACAGAGAAAGTACTAACATTTTTTTTTTTTTTTTTGCAAATTACTTCAACAACAATATAAAATAAAGAACAAAAACCTACCCCTTTCAAATCTGTTTGATATCTAACTCTGAATGCTTTGGAAACGCCTTGTATCTGTGACTTTCCTTCCCTCCATTGATTACGGTGACATTATTTACATGAACGCTCCTACAAGAACCCTGCAGATGTTGGATGCTGTCTATCATGGTGCACTAAGATTCATAACTGGCTGTGATTATCGTACCCACCACTGCACCCAGTATTCACTGGTTAACTGGACATCATTAACTTCACACAGACTCTCTCACTGGTACATTTTCATCTTTAAATCACTTCTTGGTCTGCTGCCTTCATACATCTCCTCCTACATGTCTCTGTGTGAGTGCAGCTACGGAGTGCGCTCTCAGGACATTATTACCTGCAGTGTTCCCTCAATGAGGACTGAACTAGGCAAAAGGGCCTTCTCCTACTCCGCTCCAGTTTCCTGGAATATCTTGCAAAAACAATTGAAGCTCTCGACCTTGACCTCTCTAAGTGGCTTTAAGAAGCTGTTGTACTCCTGGCAGGGACCAATGCAGACATGTTCCTGTTTTTAGTTTTCTACATTCACCTTAGAATCTAGCTGTTTTTTGTTTTTTTTTGTTACCTTTTTTTTTTAGCCATCCTATTTGTTATTAAAAAAAAAACTGTAGTATGCTTTTTATAACTGTTTATTGTTGTCGCTGTTGTCCATTGTTGTCATCATTCTTTGTTGAAATCAGGTCTCTCTTGTAAATGAGTCCTCGAGGCTCAATGAGATTTACCTGTCTAAATAAAGGGTGAATGAAAACAAAAAAGACTCTTATTACACCTTCTAATGAAATGCCAATCATAAAAGTTCATATAGCGTACTGTTAACTTTCACAGATAAGTAAAATAACCAGTTATTGATTTGTCCACTTTGCTTATGTTCTCTTTATCTTTTAGTCCGTTTATCTCTTAAGTTTGTATTTACCACCACTTTAAATGATTTCCTGCCTGTTTTTGCTCCTGCAGTGCTTTCAGAGCGTGCCATCCTAACGTCATGATGTTTTATTTTGCGGCTGAGAATCACGAGGACATGAACTTGTAAGTACAACACTGTTTGCTATTCTTTTTTAAAAATCCAAATCTAATTTGGTTTCAGAATTGTGGTAAGCTTGACTAATTTTTTTTTTCCAGATGGTTGAATAAGCTCGGACTAGCTGCCATTCAGTATGGGTGCACAGATGACAGCGCTGTAGCAGGTAAATTCAATGCAGCTGGTCTTTATTTTTTTAAATTTTTTAACGGAAGCTCCATCTTGAGAGTTTTTGAATTAATTGAACTAAACAAAATTTGAATTAAACACTGGACAAAAGGTTGAGGCCCTTTAGACTTAGTATGAGCTTGCAAATTTATAAGTGCACTAAATGCAGATGTGAATGCACACCACATTTAATCACATATTACTAACTGACTTGACTTCATATTAAACATATTAACTATCAAAGATTATTGCATAAAAAAAACTTTTCAGCAGTTGTACTGACATGAGATTATTTTTTATGTTCATTGACTTCTTGCATAATGTTTAAATATCAGGGCCTATTAAGGGGAATTATTGTGATGTCACACATTGAGCTGACAACTTATGATTAATTCACTCAGGCTGCATGAGAATGCCAAGTGTAAACATAGCTTATATTAATATTTTTTGCACTTTGTGTCGTGTAATGCATTATTTTGTGTATCTTCTCTCAAAAACATGGACGTTCAGAGTATTATAGTGAAGCCAGTGATCATGAAGAAGCTGAAAGCATAGAGATCCCCCCTCCACCTTACTCTGAACAGACTCTGCGTGGCACAGTGAATATGTCCGGTCCACCAGAGAGCACACATCAGGTGGGCAGACAACATTTGTCAGAATTTCCTTATTTTCTTTAAATAAACTATTGTTTTTAAAGCAGAATTTCATAAAGGAACCATGTGAAAGTGATGCTGGATTGTTTTTTTCTAACAGTAAGGTGACTGTCTTTTAGGGTACGCTGCCTCCTCCGTACTCCACCGCCGTTCCTAGCGATTCGCTCTCCTCCCCCGTCAGCACGATGACATCACAGAGCTCCGCCTCCTCGCTAACAAAGCAGCGGCAGTCCTGGTTGGACCTGGTGTCGCAGGCGCCTCCGCCTGCTGCAGAAACGGCTGTGGTGTGCTCAGTCCAGGTTCACTCACAGGCAACCCCGCAAGGAGAGGTGCACGAGGAGGCTGCGTCAGAAAGCGTTGCTCCTCCGGACTCCTCGGCGTCCACGCGGTCCAGCGAGGACAGCCCTGCAGCAGAGGGGGAGGAACAGAAAGATGCTTTAGGTGAATTATGTGTTTTTCTGTGCACAAAGATTTCTAGAAACGTTCTCTTTATGTTCCTAATATCATTTCTGCATGCTTTTTGCACATCAGCTTGACTTTAATGCTTTTGTTAGAGTTCCTAATTGTGTTGTATTTTTACAGCCAATCGTGGGAACGGCTCGGATGAGATGGAAAGGCTGTACATTCATCTGAAAGAAGCCAGCCTCTCGCCAATAGGAGACCGTAAACCCTCTACAAAAAGGGAGTTCAGGGCCTCTTTTGTAAAACGCTGTAAAAACCACACGGTTAACAATAAGCTGCATCATATCAGGGCTCTCAACAGCACGTTAAAGGTACACGAACTTCTTGAAAATTCAGAACTTATTAACTTGACCTTTTGTGTAATTCTTTTCTTTTTTTTCTCATATTGCAGTCAAAAGAATCAGATTTGCAGGTTATTGAGCAGGTGCTGTCAAATCCAGAGCTTACCTCAGACAAGTTCAGACAGTGGAAGGAGGTCAATGCCATCCTGATCCAGGAGATTTGTGTCAAAGACGACCACAAGGAGGCGCCAGAGGCTGTGGATGCTGCAGCATCACTTAATGCTTCTTTGGCAGAGACTAGTTTATAGACTGTTGGACTTTGTGGACTCTTATTGAATACTATGTGAATATATACATACACTGCTGTGATTTAGAGGGCTGACTCTTCAGTTCCACGTTGAGTGGATTATTAAATGCCTTTCAACAAAACGGGATCTATAAAGAGCTTTTAGTTCCAACTTGAAGATGGAAACGGCTAAAAAAAGAACACGAGTATTACTTTTACTCTTCAGTTTGTAGGATTAGCTAAATTTACAACTGAGGGTTTTTAAAATTTAAATTTTTCTAAACCTCTGCATGAACTATATGAAATAATGGTGTATTTTGAAACTAGTCTGCATGGAAACACTGGTTTTTAGAGTATAATTTATCTCTGTATTTGTCTATAGAGAAAAAAAAAAGATTGTTTTATTTTTAAGTTGTTGTTTGCCAGTTATTGGTGCCATGCACCATCAATGTCTGTTACACAACAATCCCATAGGAAGGATGTATTTGTACACTCATGATGTGATGTCTCTTTAGAAACCTTTGTAGGACTGAACCTAAGCTCTGTACTAACATAATAAATGACAAATCTTGATAATTTCAGATGTAGAGGAATCTCTCTCTCTCTCTTTTTTTTGTATTTCATTTAAAACTAAAGATATAGATCATTCTTAAACTATTAAAATTGAAAACAATTGATCTTAAACTACTTCATGTACATTTTTCAACTTCAGAAGTTTGCAGTATGATTTTTTTGTTCTGTTTTGCAGATGATCAAGAATTATTTTCTAGCTTTGTATATTTTACCTAGGATAATGTTTAGCAGTATTAGTGTTTTAGCACAACTGGAAAAAACTACAAATATGCAAACAAGCCTGGCATAACTTGTAGTCACTAAATTTTAGATGTGTTTCTATCTGTAGACATCAAGCATGTGCAATTTACAATATTATAGGCATGTCATCAGAATGGACCAATAAATATGTAAAAAATAAATATTGTGCCTTGTTAACGTAAATATTTTTTAATTTGATGAAGTCTAAAGTTTACTTCAACATGTGGAAAAATACATATGGTTTTTTTAATTGTCAGGTTTTTTAATTGTCTTCAGTTTTGGGCTATCATAAACACTTTTATTATTGCTATTATACTATTATCACAGTTCCACTACAGAAGAGGCTTAATTTAGTTGCAAATAATTAATCAGAATTTGTTTTATAATATCACCTTATCACATAATGGCAATATCATGCAGCCGTTAGGATTTTTTACCAAACCAGGACCATATCGATTATAAAAGTAGCTCAACACATTTGATTACTGGCATGTTGAATTTTTGTGTTCATGAGAATGAATGTAAGTTTTTGTTTTAGATTTTAGATCATTATTATTATTTTATGAATAAAAATGTATACTGTAGATTTTCCACATTATGTGCAATCTGCAGTGCTGCCATGCTGCCGCTAGGTGTCGCCTGTCCTATGCGAATTCCCTATTGAGGTTAAGCGCCATATTGGCAGTCTCCTCCATCTCACCGAACGTCGAGCATGCATGTCTCTACCGGTTATTGAGGAGATAATCTGTACAATTTTACAGTAACCAGCGAGCCGAAATACAACACCATGGAGGCCGTTAAATCCTTTAACAACGAGGTTTGTCTAAAAGTCGTGAAAAATGCGGAGGAGCTACAATATATTATCTAACTACCTCTTGCTGAAGCTAGTTAGCTAACGTTAGCATCTAGCCGTAGAAAACGCTAAGGCCAGCATTACACAGGCCGCTCATTGTAACTTTATTTACAATTTATTTGCACTTTGAGGGAGTGCATCTTCAAGGACACTAATGAGGGAAGATTATGGCTCCTTTTTTACACATCGTATGGGTAAAACAGTCTTAAATATTTTAGGCGAGCAAAAGTTAGCTCCAAGCTAGCGAAACCCCCTCAGTTACGTGATGTCTTGTTGGGTTAACTATAAAATAGGCTAGTACAGTCCACTCCATTTGCCACAAACATTACGTACAATTTTGTTTGTGTGGGGGACAGAGGATTATAGTATAGAATGATAGCTGCGTTAAATATCTACAGGTATTAGCAATGTTTATAGTTTAAAGTAGCTGTAAGCTAGTAGCGCTGCAGTCATTTGTAATGACACTGAATTACTTCCATAGGCTGTAGCGCGATCAGTTCAAATGATGGCCCCATTGTCTATTTACATATTTATTATTATAGTATTATATTTCACACAAAACATGCCGAGTACCCTGCCACGTATGTTTGATGACAAAAAATGTGCAACTTCATGATTGCGTTGCAAAAGATATTCTCTGATGCCTTGTTTTATTTTTCAGCTGTACTCGTTGACTGAGTACAAGCCGCCCATCTCCAAGGCCAAGATGACTCAGATCACCAAGTCAGGAATCAAGGCTATAAAAGTAAGTATGTTTAAGGATGAGGCAGGTAAATGATGGAGAAAATAAAATTCATTGACTGGAACTGTTCATTTTATAAGACGTGGATCTAGATTAAACCATTTTTCAGCTGAACTTTTTTTTTTTTTTTTTTGGGGCACATCTACTTTTGTAAAGTTACCCTTGAAAGAAAGTAAGTCCACAGTCATTTCGAACAAATATTACGGTAAAGTTTATGGACTCAAGACAATAAGAGCGTTTACCTGTCTATTGATTATTATTATTAATGTAACATGATTTTTTTTCTCCCTCAAATTCCTCCTTAAATTTAGCAATTGCAATCTAAACAACCAGATTGACTAGGTTAACAAATACAAAAGTATAAACTGAGATAAAAAAGATAAAAAGACATTAAATGCAAAAAAAAGGGGGAGGCTACAATTTAAAATCAGGAAAAGTGAGTATTTGCTTTGGCAGTGCTGTTCTGTTAACTCAATGAAAACTAACTCTTCATGGCTTGATTTCTTTTCTGTTTGATTTCCATTGTAAAGTTGTCAATTTTTATTTTAAGCCTTCCTATGCTCTCAGTTACGAAAAACAAACAAACTTGCGATTATCTATAGATCAGTGGGTTTTCCTGGGCTTTAAGAGTGAAGGTAGTATTCTGAAATGGGTATTATGAGGACAAATATGAACACTGACCCAATAAAGTGTCACTCGTTGTTTTATGTTTTGCCAAGAGTCTTTTCGATAACCTGAGTTTATATAATCGTGAAGCTTTCTTACCAATCTAAAAAGGTTGCGGTAATAAAATTGCTTCATTTTGACCTCAAATAATAAAAAGCAAGTGGAATTAGTGATAGAATTTTTTTTTTTTTAACCCAGCTGTTGTTATAAACTTGAGTGGAACAACTATGAGGATTCTCCTGATGCATGCTCAATAATCCAGGTAGAAAAATCCAAAAAAGTTCAATCTGGTCCTTTGGACATTCAAAAAAAAAAAA